CATCACATTGATAGCCGAAAAGTCACACCGGTGTCCAGAGAGCAGCACTGCACCAGATACACCAATGGAAGTTCGTAGCACTGAGAACCGATGTCCAGGGAGAGCATACTCTCTCCTCCCAACACGAAGGACCAGTTCCTTCACACTCACACCCAGCGCTCGGTGTCCGGCCTACTCCTACACAGCTACTACAGACTTACGAAAAGACAATGCAATCGTTGACATCCGCGACAGTCCGAAGTACTTGAAGGGTTCGCCCATGCAGACCATCGTCAGCGCCAGGTATGCGCCCTCACTTCATCATCATCATCATCATCATCATCATCATCATCCTTCACTTATCCCCTCCTTTCTCCTCTCTCTCTTCTTTCTCTCTCCTCCTTTCCACTTTCTCTCTCTCTCATCTTTTGTTTTGTTTTCCCCTTTCTGTCCTTCGATCTTTCTCCTCCGATTTCTGCCTTTCTGTTACATCCCCAGATGGACGATGTAAGCCAAGGATCCGTGGCGTGACGATCGGGACTGATGGACCACAAGGTGCGAATGGAAGTTTTGACAAGTCACGTGCACGCACACCCACATGCATTCTTATACGTGCATAATGGGCTGAATAACGCAGGGAAGACTTAGATACAGAGACTGACCTGACCGGGACTCACCCCTATAGTGCATGACAACGTAGCAGAATGCTAAAACACCAGCCCAAATCAACGTGGCAATGCGGACCAATCATACATCATGCTCATCGCAAGGTGTGTACGGTCCTGGCGCTATACCCAGGAGGGAAACGCCAGGACCGAGCATACACAGACAAAAAAGGATGGGAACAGACGAACGGAGGGGATCGGACGAAAAGAGGGAGAGAGACGTGAATGTCCTCATCACCAAGTCTTCGCCACCAATCCCCGGATAATCCCTTGTTGCCATATCTAAAGTCCTAAAGCCGAGTCTGGATCCGACGTCACGAAGCTTTATCTCTCTCTCTCGTAGTCTGCAGATGCAGTGAAGTCAGATGTTGGGAGGGGAGAAGAAGATGGGGGACTCTCATCTCTCTCTCTCTCTCTCTCTCTCTCTCTCTCTCTCTCTCTCTCTCTCTCTCTCTCTCCTTGGTCGAATCATGAACGTCTCACACCCACGCATTCCATCGATAGGACGGATAAAGACGGAATGAATCTTCTGCTGAAACAGGGAGATATGCACTGTCACCTTTTGATTTGCTCGTTCTATCGATCCAAATAGCATGCGTCGAGCCATGGGGCTGGAGAGAAGGTTGTTGGCCAAGGTAGGAGACTTATAGTCTCTCTCCCTCTCCCTCTCACACACACCCATACACCCACCCACCCACACACATACACACATTTCATCGATAGGACGAGCAAAACGAAATGAATCTGTCAATGAAAATGTGGGAACATACACTGTTACCCCTTTGTTTTGCTCGTTCTATCGATCCAGGTAGCGTGTGGCAAGGTGCGAGTTGGAGACTGGGCCGATTGCCAAGGTCGAAGACTTCCTCGTCTCTCTCTCTCACTCTCATACATGCACAATCACCTTCTCTTTCTTTCCCTCTTCGATGTCCTCTCTCTCTCCTTTCGATCCCTCTCTTTTTCCCTTCACCTTCTCCTTCTCTCCCCTTTCTCTTTTCTCCTCTCCTCCTTGATCTCTCTCCCATCACACCTTCTCCATCTCTCTCTCTCTCGTAGTCTGCAGGTAGCGAGAGAGTGAGGGAGAGATGGTGGACTTAGAGGGAAGGATGAAGACTCTCTCTCTCTATCACACATACACACACACACACACACACATACACACACACACACATACGTGCGCGCATGCTCACACATTCTTATCGATAGGATGAGCAAAACAGAATGAATCTACTGCTGAAACGTGGAGATATACACTGATACTTCTTCTATTTCTAGTATTAATAATGGTAATAATGAYAACAATTGTAATAATAATAACGATAATAATAATGACAATAATAATAGTTTTTGTAATAATAATAATAAAATATTAAACGTACGTAAAGTTTTTCAATAAAGCCACTATAGAAAAGGCACCGCGTCCAACATTGACGCGCTAGAGTGACCGATAATCGAGCAACATTCTCCTATCTTTCCCCTTTTTTCGACCCTTTTTTTTTTTTTTTTCTCTCTCATACTTTCCCTTACACATTCGTACACACCCTTTAGCACACTGCATCGGTGCTGACCAGGTCAAGAACAGACCTCTCCTAGAAGTATGAGATAGCGTAATGGGACACTTGGATCCGAACTATCGACGTTGCAATGCAGCCTCGAACATACATCATCATCATCATTTCCATGGTGTAAAGGGTCTGGCGCTCTACACTGGAAGACTGCGCCAGCCCATACCATACCCAAATGAAGAAGAGGGGTGTTTAGACGAAGGAGAGGGGAAGATGGGAATGTCGTAACACCAAGTCTTCGGCACAGGCTCAAATAGTCTCTCGTCAAAATGTCTGAATCCCGATGTCGAGTCTAGATCCAATGTCGTCAAGTCTCGAGTTACAATTCTTTCTCTCTCTGTCGTAATCTGCTGATACTGAGGAGTCAGGCGGCGAGAGGGCGAGGGAGAGATGGACTTAGAGATGAAGAAGAATAACTTTCTCTCCCTTTTTTTTACCTTTCTCCCTCTCTCTTTCTCTTCCATACTCACAACCTCCCTCTCTCCCTCTTACGCACATCCGCTCGTATCTGGTCATATTCGCGGCTCAAATAACAATAAGAGCTAACAAGAACTATCGGTCATATAGCAATTGTGATGGCTGGCACAAATGCTTCGTGATCTTACCATAATCGTAGCCCGTATATGTAATTATAAAATAATAAAATAACAATGATAATAATAATAATAATAGTAATAACAATAATAATAATAATAATAATAATAACAGTAATAATAATAATAAAATAAAACAGATGGAATGTATACAAGCTATCTTTTTGACCTGATGCATTATCACTGGGAGTCTGGGATGCGTTGTACTTGGAGCTAACAGTCAGTCTCTGTTTCACATACACACATCCTTGGTCGATTCACGATCGCCTTCTCACACACACACTCCATCGATAGGACGAGCAAACCCGGAATGAATCTTCTGCTGAAACGGGAGGATATACACTGCCTCTTCTTGATTTGCTCGTTCTATCGATCCAAGTAGCGCGCGGCGAGGAGCGGGTAGGAGACTTATAGACTTTCTCTCTCTCATTCACCTACAAACACACCAATTTTATTTATTTATTTGTCTATTTTATTTATTTATTTGTTTTATTTATTTATTTATTCATGGGAGTTCTATGAAGTAAGTCGAGTGATCATCGACTCACCTGTCTTCTCTCTCCCGTCGTCGTCTGATTCGTTGTCGTCGCTGGCACGTAGTCAGTTCGTCGTTCTCGTCGTCGAGTTGTTTTCGCCGCCACACCGCATTATCGATGGTCTGCCGTTCCACAGGTAAGTGTTTCTGACACTTTGCTTCCTCCCTCCTTTACTCCTTTTCTCCTTCTCCTCCTCCTTCTCCCTTCTCTCCCTCTACTTTCTCTTCTCCTTCTCTCTTATGTGCGACCACCTTTCTCCTTCTCCACGTTCCCTTTCCTTCTTCCTTTGCGGTTCTTCTCCCCCTACGAGTTGTCTCTCCCGTCTTTCTCGCGCGCTCTATCCTTCGCTTCTCTGCGCTTTCCCCAGCAAGCGGCCGCTCTCGATCTCGCGTCTTCGTGATCTCGCGGTGGCTTGTTCTCTCCTTGGCGAGGGACCTCCGTGCTATAGGTAGACGAGGCACGGTAGGGACGGCCAGGACTCCTCCCCTTCTTTGGCTGAATCAACCCTGGCTTTCGGGTTGAGGTTCATTTACGCGAATTAGAAAATTTAGAGGTTATGGGTAGAGAAAATAAATAAATAAATAAGATTGATACAAGAAAAACGAATCTAACAAGTCCTACCACTAACTACCAAGTATGTCGTTTCAACGAGACAACTACTGCTACTTATTTCTAATAGAGGACACGGGTTCGAGTCCCGTTGGCCTATGAGTTGATGAAAAAAAGGTAGGCCTGCCCCCTTGTAGCTAGCAAGAACTAGCCCGGAGGCAGGTCGAATTTGATCCCAACGTCCTTGGTTCATTAGTCTGCTCCTTTACCTACTGGGCTAGCTCTTACCACGATATGATAAAGAGCCGCCTCCCTATAAGTCGGTGTAGTAGGTCTGACTTTCTCAGCCTGCATGCTCGTGCACACTTGCGAGTTAGTGCGAAGGTCCTTAGGCTTGTTGATTGCAGTGTGCGTGCGCCCTCAAGGGCACTTATCTCACCGGAAGGCCCGAAGGGCCGGTACTTAGCCGTGGCGGCGGCATCAAAGGTCTCAGCGGGGTAATTACTCAAGTGTCAGTTAAACTTGTACCCCACCAAGCAGACGTAGACGTGGCGGATACTCGACCCGGAGTTTGAGTAGGGGAAGACAAAGACCGAAATTTTCAGAATCCCCAGTATCGGAGGGAAGACAGGCACTGGACCAAGTCTCAGTGCGTGTCATAGTCCTACCTGACACAATCATCAGTCGAACTGACCCTTCGACCTCTTCCGTCGAGGGGCATTACTGCTGATCCTAACCACCACAGCGCGCGTTATAGTAACGCGGGCACACACTTGACAAAATTTTCTCACCGATTTTTGCCCCGGTCTCAGTGACCAAGGATTTTTGCTTTCAGCGTCACGCCAAGCGTGCACACCCCTTCTCGTTCCAGACTGGCTACGCCATGGTGGCTGAGTCCACCACCATAGCGAATGCAAAGACATGGCAAAATACCCTTGTAAGGGTATTTTGTCCGACACCGCCTTCTAACAATTTCACAATCCAACCGTCCGACCATCCCGCCTTCTACCGTCATGCCATCCGACCAGCCTAACCTGAACCCTGGGCCTCCAAACGTCCAAACGTACAACCATTCGACCATCTCGTTGTCACCCTATCGTCACACCACGCCATCCGATGCCCGGGCTCCAACGCGACACCCTACCATCCGATGGCGGGGCTTCAACGCGACACCCTACCATTCGATGGCGGGGCTTCAACGTGACACCCTACCATCCGATGGTCGGGCTGCAACGCCACACCCCACGATATGATGATCGAGCTTCAACGCTCGACCCGACCGTCCTGCCATCCTTCCATCCTGCAACCCTGCCATCCTGCCATCCTGCCACCCGACCATCCTCCCCTCTTGCCATTCCGTCATTCTGCCATCCTCCCATCCTCCCATCCTCCCATCCTCCCATCCTCCCATCCTCCCATCCTCCCATCCCACCACCCTACCATCCGACCAGCCGGGCAGCTGACCATCCTGCCACCCGACCATCCCGCCTTCTAGCAATTTCACAATCTGACCATCCGACCATTCGTCTTTCCAACCATCATGCCATCCGACCAGACAAACGTGAACCCTGAACCTTCAAACATCCGACCAAACACCCATTCGACCATCCCGCCATCACCCTATTGTTGCACGGCGCCATCCGACGGTCGGGCTTCAACGCGGCACCCTACCATCCGATGGCGGGGCTTCAACGCGACACCCCACCATCCGATGGTTGGGCTTCAACGCGACACCCCATGATACGATGGTCGAGCTTCACCACTCGACCCGACCGTCCTGCCATCCTGCCATCCTGCAACCGTGCCATCTTGCCATCCTGCGGCCCGACCATCCTCCCATCTTGCCATTCCACCATTCTGCCATCTTGCAATCCTCCTATCCTCCCATCCCACCACCCTACCATCCGACCAGCCGGGCAGCTGACCATCCTGCTACCCGAACACCTGACCATCCCGCCTTCTAGCAATTTCACAATCCGGCCATCCGACCATTCGTCTGTCCAACCATCGAGCCATCTGACCTGACAAACCTGAACCCTGAACCTTCAAACATCCGACCGTACACCCATTCGACCATCCGGCCATCACCCTATCGTTACACCGCGCGATCTGATGGACGGGCTTCAACGCGGCACCCCACCATCCGATGGTCGGGCTTCAACGTGGCAACCTACCATCCGATGGCGGGGCTTCAACGCGACACCCCACCATCCGATGGTCGGGCTTCAACCCGACACCCCACCATACGATGGTCGAGCTTTACGACTCGACCCGACCATCCTGCCATCCTGCCATCCTGCAACCCTGCCATGCTGCCATCCTGCCGCCCGACCATCCTTCCATCTTGCCATTCTGCCATTCTGCCATCCTCCCATCCTACGATTCTCCCATCCCACCACCCGACCATCCGACCATCCGGGCAGCTGACCATCCTGCCACCCGTCCATCCCGCGTTGTAGCAATTCTACAATCCGACCATCTCGCCTTCCAGCAATTTCACAATCCGACCGTCCGACCATTGGACTGTCCAACCATCGTGCCATCCGACCAGCCTAACCTAAACCCTGTACCTTCAGCCGTCCGACAGTACACCCATTCGACCATCTCGCCATCACCATGCCGTTGCACCGCGCCATCGGATGGTCGGGCTTCAACGTGGCACCCTACCATCCGATGGTGGGGCTTCAACGCTGCACCCCACCATCCGATGGTCGGGCTTCAACGCGACACCCCACCATACGATGGTGGAGCTTCACCGCTCGACCCGACCATCCTGCCATCCTGCCATCCTGCAACCCTGACATCCTGCCATCCTGCCGCCCGACCATCCTCCCATCTTGCCATTCCGCCATTCTTCCATCCGCCCATCCTCCCATCCTCGCATCCCACCACCCGAGCATTCGACCAGCCAGGCAGTTGACCATCCTGCCATCTGACAACCCCACCATCCCGCCTTCTAGCAATTCTACAATCCGACCATCCCGCCTTCCAGCAATTTCACAATCCGACCGTTCGACCACTGGACTGTCCAACCATCGTGCCATCCGACCAGCCTAACCTAAACCCTGTACCTTTAGACGTCCGACCGTACACCCATTCGACCATCTCGCTATCACCATGTCGTTGCACCACGCCATCAAACGGCCGGGCTTCAACGCGGCACCCTACGATCCCATGGAGGGGCTTCAACATGGCACCCCACCATCCGATGGTCGGGCTTCAACGCGACATCCCAACATACGATGGTCGAGCTTCACCACTCGACCCGACCGTCCTACCATCCTGCCATCCTGCAACCCTGCCATCCTGCCATCCTGCCGCCTGACCATCCTCCCATCTTGCCATTCCGCCATTCTTCCATCCTCCCATCCTCCCATCCTCGCATCCCACCATCCAACCATCTGACCAGCCGAGCAGCTGACCATCTTGCCACCCGACCACCCGACCATCCCGCCTTCTAGCAATTCTACAATCCGTCCATCCCGCCTTCCAGCAATTTCACAATCCGGTCGTCCGACCATTGGACTGTCCCACCATCGTGCCATCCGACCAGCCTAACCTTTACCCTGCCACCCGACCACCCCACCGTTCCGCCACCTGACCACACGACCATCCTGCAATCCTGCCATCCAGGCATCCTGTCATCCTCGCATCCTGCCGCCCTTCTATCCTTCCATCCTGCCATCAGACCACCCGACCATCCTGCATTCTAACAATTTCACAACCCCATCATCCGACCATTCGGACGGTCGACCTTCACCGCTCCACCCTACGACCCTGTCATCCTGACATCCTGACATCCGACCGTCAAACCATCCCAGTAACCGACCATCCTCCCATCCGAGGACCCGACCTTAAACCCTTAATCCTAGATGACCTTGAACCCCAAATCCTGTCATCCTGCTATCCTGTCATCCGACCACCCGACCATCCAACCTTCCTGCCATCCTGCCATCCCTCCGTCCTACCATCCTCCTATCTTGCCATCATACCGCCCTCCCATCCTCCTATCCTCCCATCGCGCCACCCTACCATCCGACCAGCCGGGCAGATTACCATCCTGCCGCCCGACCATCCTCGCATCTTGCCATTCCGCCATTCTGCCATCTTGCCATCCTCCCATCCTCCGATCCTCCCATCCTCCCATCCTTCCATCCCACCACCCTACCATCCGACCAGCCGAGCAGATGACCATCCTGCCACCCGACCACCGGACCATCCCGCCTTCTAGCAATTCCACAATTCGGCCGTCCGACCATCCCGCCTTCTACAGTCGTGCCATCTGACCAGCCTAACCTGAACCCTGTGCCAACAAACGTCCGAGCGTACAACCATTTGACCATCTCGCCATCACCCTATCGTTGCACCCCGCCATCCGATGGTCGGGCTTCAACGTGACACCCTACCATCCGATGGCTGGGCTTCAACGCGACACCCTACCATCCGATGGCGGGGCTTCAACGGGACATCCTACCATCCGATGGTCGGGCTTCAACGCGATACCCCACCATACGATGGTCGAGCTTTACCGCTCGACCTTACCGTCCTGCCATCCTGCCATCCTGCAACCCTGCCATCCTGCCATCCTGCCGCCCGACCATCCTCCCATCTTGCGATTTCGCCATTCTGCCATCCTCCCATCCTCCCATCCTCCCATCCTCCCATCCCACCACCCGACCATCCGACCAGCCAGGCAGCTGACCATCCTGCCACCCGACCATCCCGCCTTCTAGCAATTCTACAATCCGACCATCCGGCCTTCCAACAATTTCACAATCCGACCGTCCGACCATTGGACTTTCCAACCATCGTGTCATCCGACCAGCCTAACCTGGACCCTGCCACCTGACCACCCCACCGCCCCGCCATCTGACCACACGACCATCCTGCAATCCTGCCATCCAAGCATCCTGTTATCCTCGCATCCTGTCATCCCCGCATCCTGCTGCCCTTCCATCCTTCCATCATGCCATCCGACCACCCGACCACCCGACCATCCTTCATTCTAACAATTTCACAAACCCATCATCTGACCATTCGGATGGTCGGCCGTCACTGCTCCACCCTACGACCCTGCCATCCTGACATCATGACATCTGACCGTCGAACCATCCCAGTAACCGACCATCCTCCCACCCGAGGACCCAACCTTGAACCCTAAATCCTATCATCCTGCCATCCTGTCATCCGACCACCCGACCATCCGACCACCCGACCATCCAACCTGCCTTCCATCCTGCCTTATACCGTCGTGCCATCCGACCAGCCTAACCTAAACCCTGTGCCTCCAAACGTCCAGGCGTACAACCATTCGACCATCTCGCCATCACCCTATCGTTGGACCGCGCCACTAGATGGTCAGGCTTCAATGAGACACCCTACCATCCGATGGCGGGGCTTCAACACGACACCCTACCATCCGATGGTGGGGCTTCAACGTGACACCCTACCATCCATGTGAGAAGGACAACACATTGGAACGAAGTAGCAAAGCAAAGAGCAGACGGCACATCAATTCCAATTGCAAACCACGTTGAAGTCCAACTGGTCGAGCGAAGAGCAAACAACACATTGGAACCAAGAAACCATGGATGTGTGACCAAAGTGCAAAAATCCGAATTGCGAATCACGTTGAAGTCCAAGTAGTCAAGCACAGAGCATACAGCACATTGGGACCAAGAAACCATCCACATCAGGCCCAACCCTCGTGCGGCGACGCGACGCCCGACCATCGGGTGTCGTGTTGGCGCTCGATGGTCCGGTCGACGGTGTGGACGGGGAGACCATCGGTTGTCGCCGCGGCGCCCGATGGTGAGAACGGGGCAACCATCGGCTGTCGCCGCGGCGCCCGATGGTGCCAAGCAAGAAACCGTCCATGTGACAAGGACAACACATTCGAACCAAGTAGCCAAGCAAAGAGCAGATGGCACATCAGTTCCAATTGCAAACCACGTTGAAGTCCAAGTGGTCAAGCGAAGAGCAGACAACACATTGGAACGAAGAAACCATGCGTGTGTGACCGAAATGCAAAAATCCGAATTGCGAATCATGCTGAAGTCCAAGCAGTCAATCAAAGAGTAGATAGCACATTGGAACCAAGAAACCATCCACATTGAGGCCGACCCTCGTGCGGCGATGCGACGCCCGGCCATCGGGTGTTGCGTCGGTGCTAGATGGTCTAGTTGACGGTGTGGACGGGGAGACCATCGGCTGTCGCCGCGGCACCTGATGGTGTGAACGGGGCAACCATCGGCTTTCGCCGCGGCGCCCGATGGTGCCAAGCAATAAATCGTCCATGTGAGAAGGACAACACATTGGAACCAAGAAACTATGCATGTGTGATCGAAGTGCAAAAATCCGAATTGCAAACCCCCCTTTCGCCGCCTCCTCCTCTCCTGGTCCTCCCCCTCCTCCCTCTCCTCCTTGTTCTCCTCCACCTTGTCCTCGCCATCCTCCTCCTCTTCCTCCTCGCCATCCTCCTCCTCCTCCTCCTCCTCCTCCTTCTCGACATCCTCTTCCTCCTCCTCATCTTCCTCCTCGCCATCCTCCTTCTCCTCCTCCTCCTTCGTCGCTTTTTTTTTTTCTTTTTTCGATTAATCGATCAATCAATCAATCAAAAACAAAACGAAACCAAAAAATTGTCCAATCGAACAAATCGATTCGATTGGATCTTGGAAATCAAGATACGATCGGATCGATTTTGTTTGATTGGATGTTTTTCGATTGATTGATTTGCAAGGAACATGAATATGAACGAAGTACAAAAGATCCGAATTGCATACCCTCCTTTCGCCACCTCCTCCACTCCTGGTCCTACCCATCCTCCCTCTCCTCCTCGTTCTCCTCCGCATCGTCCTCGCCATCCTCCTCCTCCTCGTCCTTGCCATCCTCCTCCTCCTCCTCCTCGTCCTTGCCATCCTCCTCCTCCTCCTCCTCCTCCTCGTCTTCCTCCTCGCAATCCTCCTCCTCCTCCTCCTCCTCCTCCTCCTCCTCCTCTTCGCCATCCTCCTCCTCATCATCCTCCTTCTCCGTTTCTTTTTTTTGGTCGATTAATCGATCAATCAATCAATCAAAAAAAAGACGAAAACAAAAAGTATCCAATCAAACAAATCGATTCCAAGATCCGATCGGATCAATTTTTTTGATTGGATGGTTTTTGATTGATTGATATACAAGGAGCATGATTGTAAACGAAGTACAAAAAATCCGAATTGCAACCCCCCCTTTCGCCGCCTCCTCCTCTCCTGGTCCTCCCCCTCCTCCCTCTCCTACTTGTTCTCCTCCGCCTTGTCCTCGCCATCCTCCTCCTCCTCCTCGCCATCCTCCTCCTCCTCCTCCTCCTCCTCCTCCTCGTCTTCCTCCTCGCCATCCTCCTGCTCCTCCTCTTCGCCATCCTCCTCCTCGCCCTCCTCCTCCTCCTCTTCGCCACCCTCCTCCTTCAACTCTACGCCATCCTCCTCCTCCTCCTCCTTCTCCGTTTTTTTTTTTTTTTTTTGTCGCTTAATCGATCAAACAATCAATCAAAAAGAAGACGAAAACAAAAATTGTCCAATGGAACAAATCGATTCGATTGGATCTTGAAAATCAAGATCCAATCAGATCCATTTGTTTGATTGGATGGTTTTCGATTGATTAATTTGCAAGGAACATGATTGTGAACGAAGTACAAAAATCCGAATTGCAAACCCCCCTTTCGCTGCTCCCTCCTCTCCTGGTCCTCCCCCTCCTCCCTCTCCTCCTCGTTCTCCTCCGCCTCGTCTTCTTTCACCTCCCCCTCGTGATCCTCGATCTCTTCCTCCTTCTCCTCCTCGTCGTCGTCCTCTTCCTCGCCATCCTCCTCTTCCTCCTCCTCCTCCTCAGTCATCATCTTCCTCCTCCTCGTCTTCCTCCTCGCCATCCTCCTCCTCCTCCTCCTCCTCCTTCTCCACTTTTTTTTTTCTTTTTCTGATTAATCGATCAATCAATCAATCAAAAACAAGACGAAACCAAAAAGTGTCCAATCGAACAAATCGATTCGATCGGATCTATATTTTTGATTGGATGGTTTTTGATTGATTGATTTGCAAGGAACATGATTGTGAACGAGGTACAAAAAATCCGAATTGCAAACCCCCCTTTCACCGCCTCCTCCTCTCATGGTCCTCCCCCTCCTCCCTCTCCTCCTTGTTCTCCTTCACCTCGTCCTCACCATCCTCCGCGTCCTCCTCCTCGCCATCCTCCTCCTCCTCCTCCTCCTCCTTCTTCTCCTCCTCCTCGTCTTTCTCCTCGCCATCCTCCTCCTCCTCCTCCTCTTCGCCATCCTCCTCCTCGTCCTCCTCCTCCTCCTCCTCCTCCTCCTCCTCCTCCTCCTCTTTGCCATCCTCCTCCTCCACCTCCTCCCTCTCCGTTTTTTTTTTCCTTTTCCGATTAATCGATCAATCAATCAATCAAAAAGAAGATGAAAACAAAAAGTGTCCAATCGAACAAATCGATTCGATTGGATCTTGGAAATCAAGATCCTATTGGATCGATTTGTTTGATTGGATGGTTTTCGATTGATTAATTTACAAGGAACATGATTGTGAACGAAGTACAAAAATCCGAATTGCAAACCCCCCTTTCGCCGCCTCCTCCTCTCCTGGTCCTCCCCCTCCTCCCTCTCCTCCTCGTTCTCCTCCACCTCGTCTTCTTTCACCTCCCCCTCGTGATCCTCGATCTCTTCCTCCTTCTCCTCCTCTTCGTCGTCCTCCTCCTCGCCATCCTCCTCCTCCTCTTCCTCCTCCTCCTCCTCCCCCTCCTCCTCTTTGCCATCCTCCTCCTCCTCCTCCTACTTCTCCGTATTTTATGTATTTATTTTTTTAGACGATCAATCAATCAATCAAAAAGAAGACAAAAACAAAAGGTGTCCAATCGAATAAATCGATTCGATTGGATCTTGGAAATCAAGATCCGATCGGATCGATTTTTTTGATTGGATGGTTTTCGATTGATTCATTTCCAAGGAACATGATTGTGAACGAAGTACAAAAAATCCGAATTGCAAACCCCCCTTTCACCGCCTCTCCTGGTCCTCCCCATCCTCCCTCTCCTCCTCATTTTCCTCTGCCTCGTCCTCACCATCCTCCTCCTCCTCCTCCTCGCCATCCTCCTCCTCCTCCTCCTTCTCCTCCTCCTSCTCCTCCCCCTCCTCCTCCTCCTCCTCCCCCTCCTCGTCTTCCTCCTCGCCATCCTCCTCCTTCTCCTCCTCCTCCTCTTCCTCCTCCTCGTCTTCGCCACCCTCCTCCTCCTCTTCGCCATCCTCCTCCTCATTCTCCTCCTTCTCCGTTTTTTTTTTTTTTGTCGCTTGATCGATCAATCAATCGATCAAAAAGAAGACGAAAACAAAAAGTGTCCAATCGAACAAATCGATTCGATTGGATCTTGGAAATCAAGATCCAATCGGATCGATTTGTTTGATTGGATGGTTTTCGATTGATTGATTTGCAAGGAACATGATTGTGAACGAAGTACAAAAATCCGAATGGCAAACCCCCCTTTCGCCGCCTCCTCCTCTCCTGGTCCTCCCCCTCCTCCCTCTCCTCCTCGTTCTCCTCCGCCTCGTCTTTTTTCACCTCCCCCTCGTGATCCTCATTCTCTTCCTCCTTGTCCTCCTCTTCGTCGTCCTCCTCCTCGCCACCCTCCTCCTCCTCCTCCTCCTCGTCATCCTCTTCCTCCTCCTGGTCTTCCTCCTTGCCATCCTCCTCCTCCTCCTTCTCCGCCTTTTTTCTTTTTTCTTTTTTTGATTAATCGATCAATCAATCAATCAATCAAAAAAAAGACGAAAGCAAAAAAGTGTCCAATCGAACAAAATGATTCGATTGGATCTTGGAAATCAAGATCCGATCGGATCGATTTGTTTGATTGGATGGTTTTCAACTGATTGATTTGCAAGGAACATGAATGTGAACGAAGTACAGAAATCCGAATTGCAAATCTCGTTGAAGTCCAAGTGCTCGAACAAAGACCAGAAATCATCCGTGTGAGAACGATACAGCGGAAACGTGAGTCACTGTCCACTCCTGCCCCCCCTTCCTCCCCTGACCCCCCTCCCCCCCTAAACCGCTTTTTGCCGCCTCCTCCTCTCCTGCTCCTCCTGCTCGTCCCTCGCCTCCTCGTCCTCCTCAGCCTCGTCTTCTTGGTCCTCCCCCTCGTCGTCCTCTGCCTTCTCCTCCTCATCCTCCTCATCGTAATTCCTCCTCCTCCTCCTCCTCCTGTTATATAAAGCGTGTGCAGGGTAGACGAGCGCATGGCAACTATGCACGGTGGATACGTCGGCAGATCTTGGGCAGGTGGCAACTGAGGAGGAGGAGGATGAAGCAGAAAAACAACAACAAGACGAGGAGGAGGAGGAAGAGGACAAGGAGGAGGACGAGGAGAAGGATGAGGAGGAGGAAGAAGAAGAGGAATGCATAGATTCCTGGGCGATGGGTTGGGAGAGATCACCTTTGCTTGCCATGGAGGACTGCCGAGAGCATGCCGCAGGTAAGATAACGCTTCGACTGTTGAAAAACTACACACAACTGCGGATTAGAAGAACGTCGGAGATGGTGGAGGACAGCAAGACAATGGGAGGGAGACGTCAAACCCTTCGACTGCGGGCTGCGTTATTGCCACGGTCGTAGTGGCTGAACAAGAGCTTGGAAGTCGCCGCAGGGGCAATTGCACGAATGGCAGGCGACGCGCGAGGTGCGGACTGCAGTGTTGCCGTCACCATGGTGGAGGAGCAATGGAACAGCTGTCCACGACACCGTCGCAAGGCGACGCTGCATTTGCGGGCTGCATTTGCCTGCCGAAACTTTGGGGGAGATATGGGGGAGAGGGGGGGGGGGGGGGGGGGGGGGGGGGGGGGGGGGGGGGGGGAATAAAAGAGGCCCCTTCCCCCCCCACCCCCCCCACCCCACCCACCCCCAACGTCTGTTGTTCTGTCGCTTTCACGGGGGTGCGGGTCGGCCCCCTGTTCCGAAACATTTTCCAGTCCCCCTGAAAAACAGACCTGTGAGCTTGCAATTAGAAGTAGTGGCAGGTGGGTAGTGCGGGGCGAAAAACGTTTAGATAAGACTGTAGTTCAAAAAAAAAAAAAAACAGGCTTCCTTCGTTTTGCTGTTTGGGCCCGTCCACTTTTTTTTATCTGCCCCTTTCAATTCTGCTTGGCCTGGAAAAACTGGCCGGCGCACGGTCCTCGTCGCATGGTCTTTCCTTTCTCCACCATGGACAAGACAAACTGATTGTTTCGTGAGTTGTCTCCATCGCCAGCACCTCCGTCTCACCCGCCTCATGCACTCCTCTTCCGCCACTCCTTCGCCCACCACTGCCGCTTCTCTCACGCCGAACCTATCTCTGCCTCACACACCGCGTTCGCGCCGAACATTCCCAGTGCACCCGGGTTGTCCTCTCGCACGGCGCAGGGAACTACAGGCTATGAGGTGAGCAGGATTTTTTTATTTTTTTTTCCATCTTTACCTTCGTCAAACTCATGCGTCCACGCTGGCTTCCTCCCCTGCCATGTGGCCAACCTCCTTTCAAGTTCTTGATTTTCTTTGTTTGTTTTTTTTGTTTCTTGGACCGTTCGGGTTGGCCGTGCGTTCTTTTCGAGCAGGTTCGCGTGGAAACTGCATCTTTGATGCCTTGGGTATTAGCTACAGGTTTCCATTCAGTCAATTCATTTCGGTGGATTTATTGGACCTTCTTTCTGAAACTTCTCACTTTTCCATTCTAATTTTTTTGTACTTTCTTGTTGTTTTTTTTCGCCTTCCTTTCTCGGTGATTACAAAGACGGAACTGCACGGTGTGCGGGGAATCCTCGAATGGGTGGAATGAATTTGATCTCTGGATAGTGCGTAATAGTACTGAAATTCAATTGGAGGGCAAACTCGAAAATGACCTTGATCACATTGGCAGCTGACACGACCGAATGTTTCGACAGGAGCAGCAGGGGTAGCATCTTTGTAGAGCAACATCCTTTTTCTTGGCATGCTTTAAGAAGCTCCTTCGTGCATGCACATGACGTGCCACCCTTCGCACGTCATGTTCCTTACCGCACTTTGGCAACATCGTTTTTCTTTGAAAACTTTAAAACATCCCTTCGTGCATGCAAATGCTCGTGTGCCGGCGATGCTGCACATTTTTTTCATGTGCGCATGCAGAAAATAAAACGTGCAGGGTTTTCACCGTTGAGGTCGCCCGAGTTCGTCCGCGTTTGTTGGTCGCGGCCACATTGGCAGACGATGGGAAAAGTGGATGACGGGATGAGCGGATGGCGGGAAGGGTGAATGGCGAGAGGAGCGGATGGCGAGAAGAGTGGAAGACCGGCTAGATTGCCAGATGCTGGGGACAGTGGATGGTGAGAAGAACGACTGATGGCGAGAAGATTGATGGCGATAATAGTGGATGGCAAAAAGAGTGGATGACGAGAATAGTGGATGGCGAGAAGAGTGGGGCGGGAAGGGTGCATGGACGGAAGCCTTGATGGCGGGAAGGGTGGGCGACAGGGAGGGTGGATGGTGGGAAGGGTGGGTGGCGGGAAGGGCGGATGGCGAGAAGAGTCGAAGAGCGGATAAATAGCCAAATGGTGGGGACAGTGGATGGCGAGAACAATGATTGATGGCGAGAAGAGTGGAAGAGCGGATTGCCAAATAGTGGGGACTGTGGATGGAGACAAGAGTGCATGGCGAAGAGATAGTATGGCGGAAAAAGTGGATGGCGAGAAGATTGATGGAGAAAAGGCGAGAAGAGTGGGGCGGGAAGGGTGCATGGGTGAAATCCTTGATGGCGGGAAGAGTGGGTGACAGGGAGGGTGGACAGTGGGAAGGGTGGGTGGCGGGGAGGGTGGACGGTGGGAAGAGTGAGTGTCAAAAAAGGTGGATGGGCGGGGAGAGCGGGTGTTGGGAAGGGTGGACGGCACAACGGCAGGAAGAGTGGGTTCGTAGGAATGTCGAGGAGGAGGAGCGATGGTTGGAAGGATGGACTGTGTGATGGGACTGGTTGGAAGGGTGGTGGGACGGGACGATGGGAGGATGGATGGATGGGAGGATGAAAGGATGGCAGAATGGCGGAATGGCAAGATGGGAGGATGGTCGGGCGGCAGGATGGAAGGATGGCAGGGTTACAGGATGGCAGGATGAGTCTGCTCTGTTCTTGACTACTTGGACCTCAGCGTGATTCGCAATTTGGATTTCTGCACTTCGGTCACACATGTATGGTTTCTTGTTTCCAATGTGCTCTATTTGCTCTTCGCTTGACCACTAAGACTACAACGTGGTTTGCAATTGGAATTGATGTGCCATCTGCTCTTTGCTTGACTACTTGGTTCCAATGTGTTGTTTTTCTCACATGGAGGGTTTCTTGCTTGGCACCATCGGGCGCCGCGGCGACAGCCGATGGTCTCCCCGTCCCCACTGTCGACCGGACCATCGAGCGCCGACGCAACACCCGATGGTCGGGCGTCGCCTCGCCGACGAGGGTCGGGCCCGATGTGGATGGTTTCTGGGCTTCAATGTGCTATCTGCTCTGTGCTTGACTGCTTGGACTTCAGCGTGATTCACAATTCGGATATCTGTACTTCGGTCACACATGCATGGTTTCTTGGTTCCAACGTGTTGTCTTTTCTTCGTTTGACCACTTGGACTTCAACGTGGTTTGCAATTGGAACTGATGTGCCATCTGCTCTTTGCTTGGCTACTTGGTTCCAATGTGTTGTCCTTCTCACATGGACGGTTCTTGCTTGGCACCCTCCGGCGCCGTGGTGACAGCTGATGGTTGCCCCGTTCACACGATCGGGCGCCTCGACGACAACCGATGGTCTCCCCGTGCACGCCGTCGACCGGACCATCGAGCGCCGACGCGACACCCGATGGTCGGGCGTCGCCTCGCCGCACAAGGGTCGGGGACAATGTGGATGGTTTCTTGGTTCCAATGTGCTGTCTGCTCTGTGCTTAACTACTTGGACTTCAGCGTGATTCGCAAATTGGATTTCTGCACTTCGGTCAAACAGGCATGGTTTCTTGGTTCCAATGTGATATTTGCTCTTCGCTTGACCACTAGGATTTCAGAGTGGTTTGCAATTGGAACTGATGTGCCATGTGCTCTTTGCTTCACTACTTGGTTCCAATGTGTTGTCCTTCTCACATGGACGGTTTCTTGCTTGGCACCATCGGGCGCCTCGGCGACAGCCGATGGCTTACCCGGCCACACCGTCGACCGAACCGTCGAGCGTTGACGCGGCACTCGATGGTCGGGCGTCGCCTCGCCGTGCAAGGGTCGGGCCCGATGTGGATGGTTTCTTGGTTCCAATGTGCTGTCTGCTTTGTGCTTGAATACTTGGACTTCAGCGTGACTCACAATTCGGATTTTTGCACGTCGATCACACATGCATGGTTTCTTGGTTCCAATGTGTTGTCTGCTCTTCGCTTGACCAGTTGGACTTCAAGGTGATTTGCAATTGGAACTGATGTGCCATCTGTTCTTTGCTTGGCTACTTGGTTCCAATGTGTTGTTCTTCTCACATGGACTGCTTCTTGCTTGGCACCATCGGGCGCTGCGGCGACAACCGATGGTTGCCCCGTTCACACCATCGGGCGGCGCGGCGACAACCGATGGTCTTCCCGTCCACACCGTCGACCGGACCATCGAGCGCTGACGCGATACCCGATAGAAGGCCGTCACCTCACCGCACGAGGATCGGGCCCAATGTGGATGGTTTCTTGGTTCCAATATGCTGTATGCTCTTTGTTTCACTACTTGGACTTCAATGTGATTCGCAATTTGGATTTCTGCACTTCGGTCACACATGCATGGTTTCTTGGTTCCAATGTGCTGTCTGGTTTTCGCTTGACTACTTGGTCTTCAACGTGGTTTGCAATTGGAACTGATGTGCCATCTGCTCTTGGCTTGGCTACTTGCTTCCAATTTGTTGTCGTTCTCACATGGATGGTTTCTTGGTTCCAATGTGCTATATCCTCTTCGCTTGACCACTAGGACTTCAACTTGGTTTGCAATTGGAACTGATGTGCCATTTGCTCTTTGCTTGACTACTTCGTTCCATTGTGTTGTCCTTCTCACATGGATGGTTTCTTGCTTGGCACCATCGTGTGCCGCGGCGAGAGTCGATGGTCTCCCCGTCCACACCGTCAACCGGACCATCGAGCGCCGACGACACCCGATGGTCGTGCATCGCCTCGCCGCACGAGGGTCGGGACCGGGATGGATGGTTTCTGGGTTCCAATGTGCTATCTGCTCTATGCTTGACTACTTGGACTTCAACGTGATTCACAATTCGGATTTCTGCACTTCGGTCACACATGCATGGTTCCTTGGTTCCAATATGTTGTCTTCTCTTCGCTTGACCACTTGGACTTCAACGTGGTTTGCAATGGGAACTAATGTGCCATCTGCTCTTTGCTTGGCTACTTGGTTCCAATGTGTTGTCCTTCTCACATGGACGGTTTCTTAATTGGCACCATCGGGCGCCGCGACGATAGCGATAGCCGATGGTTGCCCCGTTCACACCGTCGGGCGCCGCGGCAACAGCCGATAGTCTCCCTGTCCACACCGTCGACCGGACCATCGAGCGCCGACGCGACACCCGAAGGTCGGGCGTCGCCTCGCCACACGAGGGTGGGACCGAATGTGGATGGTTTCCTGGTTCCAACGTGCTGTCTGGTCTGTGCTTGACTACTTGGACTTCAGTGTGATTCACAACTTGGATTTGTGCACTTTGGTCACACATGCTTGGTGTCTTGGTTCCAATGTGCTGTCTGCTTTTCGCTTGACCACTTCGACTTCAACGTGGTTTGCAATTGGAACTGATGTGCCATCTGCTCTTTGCTTGGCTACTTGGTTCCAATGTGTTGTCCTTCTCACATGGATGGTTTCTTGGTTCGAATGTGTTGTCTGCTCTTCGCTTGACCACTAGGCTATGAAACACTCGCAGACGTGTCTGCGGGTCCGATCTCGGATGGCGGACAGAGATGGGGCCGCGTCCGCGGCCGACATAGTCCCCGCCGCATACCCGATTTTACCAGAATTTTCCTGAATTAAATAATAGGTTAATATATATATATATATATATGTATATATATGGGGTTGTAGGGAATTTTAAGCCCTACAACCCCATATTGTTTTTTTTGGAATCTGACTTTGTTTAGGATTTTAAACAAATCAAAAACTAAATTCGATCTAAAGAGAATTAAAAAATATATATATAAAGAAAAGCTGGATTTTTTTTTCTGTCATTTTTTAGCATGAGATATATGGTCCCTAAGTTCACGTGTATTTTTTTAGAAATGAATTTCTGTGTTTTACAGGGGTATGAGGTGTTTCAAAAAAATGCAGATGCAAAATTTAAAAATAAATAAAGAAAAAACTTCAAAAAAGGGGTTTTATTGATTGATTGATTGATTGTGCGTGCGTGACTCAGTGAGTGTGTGTGTGTGTGTGTGTGTGTGTGTTTGTGTGTGTGTTTGCGTGCGTGTGTGTGTATGTGTGCGTGCGTGTGTGTGTATGTGTGCATGTGTGTGTGTGTGTTTGAGAGAGAGAGAGAGAAAGAGAGAGAGAGAGAGAGAGAGAGAGAGAGAGAGAGAGAGAGAGAGAGAGA